GCTTCTCTATTAAGTGATATTGTATCTAGTATATGCATTTACTTCTTCTTTTTCCCTCTCTTAAAGTAAGTTGACCTTATTTCATGCTCAATGTTCAGTCAGGACTTCAGGCACGAGGTAAATTTGCTTGTGAAGCTTCGGCATCCAAATATAGTCCAATTTCTAGGAGCTGTAACAGAGAAGAAGCCCTTAATGTTGGTCACTGAATATTTGAGAGGGGTAAGTGATTTTTTCCCCCTAAAGTTGTGTGGAAGTATATATTATTTAACTTCAACACGTCATAATGTTGGGTTATAACATTTTACTCTTTTCCTAGGGTGATCTGCATCAGTATCTGAAGGAAAAGGGGGCGTTGAATCCAACAACTGCAGTCAATTTTGCAATGGATATGGCCAGGTAAAATAAAAGTCGTTTTGTTAAATTTCGCTGCAGAATTTCTCACATTTTGATATGTCAAACATCGATCATGATCTTTTGATGCTCATGCTTAAAAGTTTAGTTCACGTCAGAAATTACTTATCGCAGTGGATACCTTGAGTGAGATTGTATTTCGACTACCATCAACACAATTGATGTTTCCTTCCACTTTTTTAATTTTATTTCTTCAGCGTTTTTGTTGCCTTCCTCTTCCGCCTCTTCTTTAATTATGAGCTATACCATTTGTGATCATCGAAGAAGCATTGTGCATAAATCCAACCTATGTTATTTTGACATTTTGTTCATCAACATACAATTGTGTCAGTGCTGATTTGTGGACTCTTGTTTGTGTATATAGAGGCATGGCTTATCTTCACAGTGAGCCGAATGTTGTAATACACAGAGATCTTAAACCAAGGTCAGTTGGTTTCACATTTGGTAAATTTGACTTATTAATTGGTTTTCCTAACCATGTCAGAACATTTTAGATCCAATACTTCTATTTCTGACGAAAATGATCACTGAATTTCAAATGGCTATCTTTCAGACTGTCAAATACCTATCTTTCAGATTTTCAAATGCAATTGACTGATACTTTACACTTGTCTCTTTACAATAAGAAATACTGTTATTTTCTAAAAAAATGTATATTTCCAGAAATGTTTTACTCGTAAATACAAGTGCGGACCATTTAAAAGTAGGAGATTTCGGGTTAAGCAAGCTGATCAGAGTACAACATTCTCATGACGTGTACAAAATGACTGGCGAGACTGGAAGCTGTGAGTGGCTTTGTAAAAAAATCATTTGGATTTACATCATGGGGTTTAATTGTTTGTTAACATTTTTACTATCTTTTCAATGTAATTTTGAATAGACCGCTACATGGCGCCTGAAGTCTTCAAGCACCGGAAATATGACAAAAAGGTCGATGTTTTCTCCTTTGCAATGATATTGTACGAGGTAACAATTTTGATACTTGTGTGTCATATAATTAATTTTGCTTGATCGAAACATTAGATGCAGAATTTCTATTTATTCGCAGATGCTTGAAGGTGAACCTCCGTTATCAAATTATGAACCATATGAAGCGGCCAGATATGTAGCAGAAGGACACAGGCCCATGTTTAGGGCAAAAGGTTTTATTCCTGAATTGCGGGAGTAAGTATTTACAGTAATAATAACTCGTGACATGGAAAAAATGAGTTTAGTTTTATAACTAACACAATAAATAGAAGAAAAAAAAAGGTTACTGAAGCTACCTTTAAGTCTAATTTCAATTTATATAAAAATGCAACTATCTTTCGTAAATACAAATTGTACTTATTAATTTTGGTAATTTGCACAAAACATAAATAAAAATATAAAGAACAAGAAATGACAATAACCATCCAAAACTTGAGGGTATATTTAATTTAAACCCATCGCCATTTGCTTTTCATCTTACCATCTCCCAATGCAGCCTACATTAATGTAGGTTGGATTTTGCAATTTGCGTCCTAACCTCTGATTCTGGTAAAAATAAAGACAGTTCTGGTAAAAAAGACATTATGTAAGGTGTCGATTTTTTTTTTCTTTTTTTTTTTACTCTATAATTTTAGAAGATGTGATTTTTCTGTATTCTTTGTTGGTAATTAGGACAAAACCCAGAATCAGAGGAGTCTACGTAAAAACACCATCACTCTTCACACCATGCATATGAAGCATTTGCCTGTACATTCAGCACAATTGTTTTCATCAATCTGAATAATAAAAAGCTATTTTGAACATATGAAAAGTTGTCCTAACGACTCCCGAACTGAAAATGCCAAAATGGTGTGCAGGCTAACCACACTGTGCTGGTCAGCAGACATGAACCAGAGACCTACTTTTTTGGAGATTTTAAAGAGGCTCGAAAAAATCAAGGAAAATCTGCCATCCGATCACCACTGGCATATATTCTCATCGTGATGTGAAAACCTGACATGTACAAGATATCAAATACTTGGATCTCAGTCGAAGAATGAGGTGATATTGCAAATAGGCTCTGCCATGGAGTTATTCGAGCAATTAGTTGCAGTTGAATTTGATTGTGGGAATACAAATTTTTAAATCATTTGGAAATATTAGTTTCGTTGTGCTTGCTGTGAGTGCCTCCATAGTTATAAACCGTCGAAGACTTAAATTATATGTTTGTTTGTTTTGTTTTTATTTTTTATTTTTTGTTTTTTTTTTTAGATCTTTATTTCCATACTTTTCCTTTATTTTGTTTTGGGTGTATATACACAATGCAGCGCAAGCTGACATGAACCTTCTTTTTCCCTCTATTTTAGACAGATTGTTGGTAGCATGTATTGAAAAGTTTGTGCAATCAAAGATATCACATGTTTTCGAATTTGCGAACTGCTTTGATTTCGATGTTACGGTTATGGATGCGCCTTTTATTTATTCTACTCTGAGATCCTGCAAGGTAGGCACTGAAGGGATTTGTTTTAGGAGAAATCACACTCTTAGGAAATTATTTACCAAATGTCAATGAACATTTTATAATTTTATGGATCATGTTATTTTTTCAATATTACTTCTTTCTTAGCATTATATGTAGGGATGGTTTTGAACTTAGACTGCAATGGACTAGAGCAATGCCATTATTTAACTCAAGTTCGAGCTCCACTGGCCGAACTTTTTAAGGCTCGACATTACTCGAACAAAAATATATAAATGCTGGAGGATTGCTCAAATTCCATCACTTTATATTTGAACTTAGTCTTGCTCGAATTTTGATCAAGTTAGAAGTATGAAGTATTAGAGGAATTACACTTACAATCAGGTGGCCCGTCGAGCATTCGAGTTTATAAAATGTATGCTCGAGGTTTGACTCGAGCTGTCGAGCACACACAAGCCGTGAGCTGTTTAATTCTTTTACAGACCTAACCGAACCTATACATGATTCAAAAGACTTCTCCAGGAACTCGAAGAATCCAAAAATTTCATAAAGTTCCATTTGGACCTCACTCACCTTAGAACATTACATCTCCATTCACAGTTATTCCTTTTCACTTTTCATTATTTTATCAACCTCTAATAGCCAAAACTAAAAGAAAATTTTGAACTTCAAGTTTTTTCCCAGGAGTTATGGACACAATTCAAGATTTAAAAAGCCAAAACAGGACAACCCAGAAAGATAGACAAACATTTCCATCTACACTTCCATTAAGTAATATTGCCCAATTGGCCACAAGTTAACAAGATGTAAGAACTAAATTAAATAATCTTCTTCTTCTGAAAAAAAAATTTCAGGTACCAAAACTGCACTCCCGCCACAGATAACGAGATGAGAATCGACAGTAATGAAAACCATCCCATTTTCGAGTTTGTAGATGCATTCAGTTGCTGCATTTCTTGTTCCCTATGGAAAGAACCAATCGGTTTTCAAATGTCCGAGCTTGAATTGTTGTATTTATTCGAGAAATACTTGCAAAAATTCTTTAAAAGAAAAATCACCTTTTGCGAAGATAAAACATCTCGTCGTGAATGGACTGTACTGTCCCGAACATACTCTTCAATTCCAATTCCATCGACTTGTGATCATAAACAACAAATGTAAAAGGCAAGATTAGTGAAAGTGGAAGAGAATAGAGGAAAGTAATTTCATATTTCATCTCTCACAAGCATGATCAAATAGATGAAGTACAAGAAAGAAACAAATATAGTACAAAACTATTTAGTAAAACCATGCATTTGAATGAGGCATTTTTATTGCAGTAGAACAAACCAAGAATGTATCATAAACCACAGCAAACACAACAAAATCCAAGCATAAACATCTCAAGTTCTATTTCGTTCCCAATAGCACACGATCAAAGCTAGGATCACGACTTTCTTGATCGATAATTTACAATAATTGGCAAATTAATGTATTTTTTTAGGTGAACTTGGAAAGAAAAAAATAATAATAATAATTGCGTCGAAAAGCATGAACAACAAAGATGTACAAACATTATATACAAAAAGAGGAATATATAAATATAGTAACTTACTTCAACAGAACCTTTCGTCGCAACATTGACCAAATTCTTGGCGGCAAAACCGAACTTCCAATCAAAATCCACGGTGAACGAAACCGGAGGATTGTGCTCGGCCACGAAAAAGCAAGCCACGTAATCACCTGCCTCGCCCGTTTCGAATGCGAATTGCCCTTCAGTCACGTTGTCCGAAGAGTGATACAATACATTTTCATAAGTCGATTGAACCTAAGGGGTTAAGTGAAATCACACATCATCAATTACAGAACTTGAAATTATGCATGGTAAAGTTCATAATCAAGCCCAAAAACAGAACACAAATTAACTAACCAACACTTAACAAACCATTGCAAGTGAAATCTACGTACATAAAGATTCAAGGCAAAATAGCTCGCTATATCACGACCTTTTCCCATATTGCTAAAACATCACGGCTTTTGGACCTTGGCAAAAAATATCACAACCTTTGATTTCTTTGTAAAACGATACACGGAAGTCAGAAACCGACCATCTTTGATACATTATGGGGGAAGATTTGTAACTATTGAGAACAATAAATAGTGTTTCGGAGGTGATGATACTTTCAGATTTTCATTAAATGATTTTAAGTAATGTAACGAAGGTCGGTTTTCGACTTTCGTGTATCGTTTTGCAAAGAAATCAAAGATTGTGATATTCTCCGCCAAGGTCCAAAAGTCGTGATGTTTTAGCAATTTAATAAAAGGTTGTGATATAACGAGCTATTTTGCCAAGATTCAAAGCATTACCCGGACAGTGATTTTATGAGTATCAGGCAAAACATGTCCCTCGTTAGGCTTTATGATTGTGTACTTCCCGAGTGTCATTGAACTGCTCGTAACATCTTCGGCTATACATTTGGATTGACCCGACTCGATATCGAACCGAATAGATTCGACCCGTGTCCATAGCAACAAAATCGAGATTAAAAACAGGAAAAAAATACTCTGTTTTTGGAGTTGAATATTCATAGTAATGTGAGAAAACCAAGAACAAAAAACCAAAAAAAATAAAATAAAAAGTATGTGGAAAAGCTTCAATTTTTATTATATATAAAAAAAAATAAAATTGTGGACTTTTTGCAGTTACCGAAAAGCCAAAAAGAGATTAAAAGAGATTAAAAGGAAAGAGACCATCTTTGATTAAAAGTTGGACTCTTGTTCACGATTATTACGTGTACAAGAGATTAAAAAAGATTAAAAGAAAAGAGACCATCTTTGATTAAAACGTGTTGAGCTTAGGTGACAGATTCTTACGCTTCTACATAACAAAAATGCTTCGTGATTTTGTTTTTATATTATTTTTGCTCTTGAGTTAGGTTTGGTATTAGACATAAATAACTTTACACATATATTCATTAACTCAACATACCATGTTGTACATGGGTATTAGTACTAGTTATTGTGAAAACGGAGATGCTTCAGTCACGTTACAGAATCATTCCGTTGGAACTTGTAACAGTTAGATCAACTATTCCTAACAATTACATGATGATCTAACAGCTACAAATCACGACAGAATTACTCTGTAACGAGACCGTAGCATTTCTCGAAAACATTACCATTAACTAAAAAGAGAAAAACGATCAAGGTCCCACACGCTAACACATACAAAAACCCAAAGCAGAAAATAAAAATAAAATAAATATTAAAAAAATACAAAGAAAGTTGCATAAATATTGTAAATAAAATTCCAATTATCATTTTTATTTCCCCCTTAATAAAGGTGAAGCGACTAAATCAAACAACTCGCTCCAATAATTCTTGTTGTCTTCAAATTCCCCAACACACGCGCTTCCCGACGTATACAATCCCTCGCCATTTATTGAGTACTCATCAGTTTCCATTATCGGCATATTAACGAATCCAACATTATTATTTTTGTCGGCACAAACAATTCAATGTCGAGTTTGGCGACCCGAGGCTCCCAGTCGGGTTGTAAAACCCGTTTCGACCGGCAGTCGTCCCCTGCCATACCCTGAGAACGTCCAAGCACGGCGGCGGTGGGGCGGCCACAAGAGGCGGTTGTTGGGCCTGAATGGCAGTTTCGTGGAGGAGCCGGAGCTTGGAAAGGATTCGACACTCGCGGACGAGGCGTGCCTCAGCCTCGAGTCGGGCGCTCTCCCACTGGGCCATGTGGCTGACGATGGCGGCAGACTGTCGGGAGGACCCAGTGGGCCCGGTTTCCTTGGGCTTGTGGGTGGTAGGGTCGATGCCCATGCGGGCCAAGCGTTTCTTGAGGCGGGTGTTCCAGTAGTTCTTGATTTCATTGTCCGTACGCTTGGGCAAATGGGTTGCTATGGCGGACCACCTGAGGTCATGAGGAACAAATTAACGAACCAAAGTTAGTGTTTGTGGCCATGCATAATTCACTGTGGTAAGGGTGATTGAAGTTGTTGATCACAAACATATTAGCATGAATTAAAATTGGTTCAATCCCAAAATTAATTGACAGAATATTTTTAACAGACATATAAACTAGACTCATTTTTTTAATACTTTTAATCAATATGAGACAACTCATAAGCGTAATATTTCAACGTGAATACTATACAGATCATTCGAATATAAGATAAAACACTAAACGGCACAAAGAATATGATGTAAATGGTACTTATTCACCTGTTGCCCAAAAGCGCATGAAGCCGAATAATGGCCTTCTCCTCATGAACGCTAAACTTTCCTCGCTTAATATCGGGTCTTAGGTAATTTGTCCATCTCAATCTACAACTTTTGCCACACCTTTGTAACCCTAAATCACACATAGAACATATTAAAAGAGGTCAATCAAAATCATCTAACCTTAATTAATGGGAGAAAAGGAGAAAATAATAATAATAATAATAATAATAATAATAATAATAATAATAATAATAATAATAATAATAATAATAATAATAATAAAATTTACCGGCTTTTGCAGGTAGGGTTCGCCAGCTTCCATGGCCATACTCTTCGATGTAAGCTAGAAGTTTTTGATCTTCTTCTCGAGTCCATGGCCCTTTCTTCAACTCCATTTTCTCATGAGCATTTGATATTCCCATTTTTAGAGCTTTTTCTCCACACATTGAAGTAGGGTGTGTGGAGAGGATGATTATATATATAGGGTTACAAGAATTAAATAAAGGTGGCTACATATGTTATAAATTTAGTTAGTGGGGACATATGAATAAGTAACAAAATTTATTTATTTTTCTTCTTCTTAATATATAATTTTTCTAATAAACTTTGAGTTGAAAACTATATGCGAAAACTTACTAGAAATAGATTTTTTGTTTAAATCCTTTACTGATCGATCTTGGTTTTGCGTGCTTTTAATTTTGTGCGTGCGTGCGTGCTTGAAAAAAATAAATAAATATATTAATAAAATGAATTTAAACCAAAATTTTAAATTGAGCTGCCTTTTCATAAATAATGTAGGGGGACATTTATTGATATATGACGTCAGTATTACAAGAGTTTCGTTTATGAAATTTATGATAGAGTACATGTGTTAATTAATATTTGTGGGCACTTGTCATTTTTGGTGTTAAATAGCTTTGGTCCACTTTGAGATTTGGTTAGGGGATCTTTTGGTCAATGTTATTTGTTTATGACTTGAATGAAAAGAACTAATAATATTAAGGGAGCTAGAGACTAAGATAGAGAGGTCATTTGTTACTAATAAATCAACAATATGGAAGTGTTGAGATTTTATTGTGCACATATTATAATATGTGGGAAATGCTACGGTCCCGTTACGGAACTATTCCGTAGGAGTTTGTAGCCATTAGATCAATTATTCCTAATAATTACAAACTCCGACGGAATGACTCCGTAACGAAACTGTAGCATCTCCACAAATTATATTGGTTACTATGAAATTGAAGTCATGCAAAGTCAACCCGAAGACAATAATCACCGTTACTTGGGCATTTTTCATATTGGCCATATTTAGATTATATTTGATAAAACTAAGGAAAAAGATAGCTGATCGTTGATGAGTGTCGAACTTATGGCTGGAAAAGTTAGTTGATATCAAAGGTGGACATGGTTCAGGATTCGGTTTATCACGCTATCCGACTTTTATGAACTTTTTGTAACGTATTTTCGGAATGGGACTATTTCCGTTCTGTTCGGTACGGGGAAAAATTTAAGTTTTTTTGCCAACCTTTAATTGATAAATAAAAAATATTTGGTAAAATTATATCTTATGAGCAGATTAAAATAAAATTTTCAAAGACCAAAACAGATTTATATAAATACCTAAAACTTATAAGCTAACAAATAAGACGTGAACTAGCTTTGGTGTTTATCAAACACATTCTTACTTAACTCTTCTCTCATGATGAAGACAATAAAGATCAAATTCGGGATTAGCAAGGTTTTGACCTATTTATAACAATCTCTCCTTATATATTAATTCAAAACGTGTTGAGCTTAAGTGGCAGATTCTCATGTTTCGGATGCTGACATGACGAAAATCTATGCTTCGTGATGTTGTTTTAAAATTATTTTTGCTCTGGAGTTAGGTTTAGTATTAGACATAAATAACTTCACATATATTCATTAACTCAACACCCATGTTGTACATGGGTATTAGTACTCGTTTAAATTTATAATTAAGTGATTAATTAGAGATGATGGAACTCATTCTTTTGAAAAATAAGGCTATTATATGTGAGATCATTAGGTATTCATGGATGTGGGAAATGTTAATTTTTGTTGAAATATTATTTCTAATCAATTTTAGTTGGAATTTAAGTTTTTTGTTTTCTTGGAATTGTAATTTAATTCTGTTGAAATCATACAATTTACTATTTCCCTTATCAAATCATTGTAAAAGAAAATTCATTATAACATTAAGTATAGAGATGCTTTTATTTTTATTTTTTTTATTTTTTCCCAGTAAATTGAAGGTCTCATTTTTGTTGTATTTATATTATTATGGCCCTCTGGAAAAGAAAATATATAGCAGCAGTGAAAATTTAACCTTATAGAGCTAAAAATAATATAAAAAATTGTGGGGTTATAAATAGCATCAACAACTCTTCAGTGTTCTGATTAGAAGAGAATTAAATATTTCTACAGCGGTCATCATTAGATAGCCATAGCCTCCTCACATTCAGTGTTTTAACGGTCCATCCTGCATTATATATGGACGTCTCAGATTAATTATTTACAATAATTAATATTAGGCATTGAAATCAGAACACAATTATGCTGCTTTTATTCCAAATTATTGAGCAGCCACATTAATTTATGGTAAAGAGTAAACATATTCAAATATATTTTTCAAAATACAATTGTTAGAATTTTAGGTATGCAAGTATCCAGATTTTTACACAAAAAATAAAAAATTAAAATTGTTTGTTGTGTTTTTGTGTCTATTTTTATGTGTTTATTTGTTTTATCGAGTCGGTTTTAGGTTTGTTTTAGTGTCGACCGGTCCATTTTATCGCGTTTCGGGTGTTTTTATGTTTTATTTTGTATTTTAACGTACTTTTTCGTGCTTTTGGTATATTTTCAGGTTTATTTCGAGGATGAATGAGGCGAGTCGAGCCAAGTTTCCAAAATTCCGAGAAG